AGCTACAAGCAATAGACACTGGCAAAAAAATGTCACCTCTTAAAATATTCATCTCATTTTCAATCTGCATGTAGAAAGAGCCATATTCGGGTCAACAAACAAGAAATGAACTTGAGTCCTAGATGTTTCCAATGTCAAAGAAGGGAGCCAATAGGGTGCAAACACTTGGGTCCCAGATACAGCTCCACCACAAGATTGGCTGTGCAACTGTGAGCAAGACTGTTTATCTTTGAGCTTCACTCATTTAATATGTAAAACAAAGACTATTCTGCTGACAGTAACAATGTTATCAAAGGGATCTAATAAAACCTTGGTCTAGGGACAGGGAGTAAGGAACCAGTCCACATATGTGCAAAGATAAGGGGCCATTTCCAGTACCACAAAGTATGTAGGATTCTTTCAAATAGTATTCAAATATGAAAATTATTACCATAAGAAACAATTCCTTAGGTCCTTAAGATAGCTTCTACCTTGCTATTATAACTTTGTTTTGGGTGGAGAGAGACAGGGTTTCACTCTGTAGCCCATGCTGGCCTGGGGATTGCTATGTATGTAGACCAGAGAATTGTCCGCATCTGCCTCCAGAGTTCAGCACTGTGGATACAACTGTACAACTGTCATTTTAAGAACCTTGTACTTTTTTTTTTTTTTTTTTTTTTTGGTTTTTCAAGACAGGGTTTCTCTGTGGCTTTGGAGACTGTCTTGGAACTAGCTCTTGTACACCAGGCTGGCCTCAAACTCACAGATCTGCCTGCCTCTGACTCCCAAGTGCTGGGATTAAAGGCATGTGTCACTGCCACCCAAGAACCTAGTATTCTTAATCACAGATTATTTTAGAGACTCAATTATCCAATTTTTTCCATGACTTGTCTTCATCTAGAGTTAAGTTCACTGTCAAAGCTATAGTCTCTAGCATCAATCCTGTGGACATCCTGCATTCATACATTTACCCAAAATGCAATTCTTCCTTAGGATCTTTAAAATTTAGGCAGAATCCCACCAACCCTAGGTTTTTGTTTGTTTGTTTGTTTGTTTGTTTTTGTTTGTTTTTAATAAGGAAAATGAAGTGACTGAGTTTGCCAAAAGAAAAAATTCTGAGGTTGGGCTGGAGAGATGACTCAGTGGTTAAGAACGCTGACTGCTCTTCCAGAGGACCCGGGTTCAATTCCTAGCATCCACATGGCTTCTCATAACTGTGACTCCAGTTCCAAACACCAATGCACACAAAATAAAGATAATTAAAAAAGAAAAAATTCCCAAATACACTCGCACTTTCCAACTTCAAGAAATACACTTCCACACAGTTCTGTCTGGAAGGAAACTAATCTTCCCTGTTCTCAAATGACAGGAGTGGGAATTAGTTTCCATACTTTGGAGTTCATCCAGCTGCTCTGTCAATGTGAGAAAACAGGAAGCGAGAGTCTAGTTTATCTAGCCAATATTCAGGTCTTCATAAAGGCCGGACCTCACTGTGACTTACGTGTGAAAATTCTTTCAGGCAGAACATTAATGTTGAACTTGTGAAAATATCAAAGGTACAGTTAACCCCACATATTACCTATTGTTTTGCAGCCAGCGGTCAGGTGGCCGGGCCTAAGCCTGCAGCTTTCCTAAGTGGCACTGTAAACGCATGCCTCATTGACTCACACTCATGTGACAAAGTCAGCTTTTCCCCATAGGATGTTTTTCCAACGTCGACAAATAATATTAATATAGGGAATCTCGGAATCTGAACTCTATTGTGTCTACCAGAGGTTTAAAGCCGCCTAAGCTTTAAAATGGGTGATCTGAAAGCTGGGTGCTTGACAAAAAGGGAAAACGATGCCTCTCTAAACACGGAAGGTTCTAGATCAAGATACCTTCAATAGAGTCTCAAAAAGAGGAAAGCTCAGAATGAGGAAGATGTGTGTCCCTTCTTCTCACACACTTAGTCCTAGTCTTCCAGCAATCGTTTCCTGGAACTCCATGTCCCCGGGACAGTGAGTGTCACCACCACCGGAGGCCCCTCTTTTGGTACTGGGGGATTTCGACTTTCTCTTAGCAGAAACTGGCCTTTCTAAGCCATGAAGACTCTCCCTCAAGCAGAATCCACACCCCACTGTCGCTGACAACCCAAGCGGCTCTCTCATCTGGTCCCTGAAAGGACTGGCTGCCCTGAACACGGAAAAAAGTCACTGCTCTTTTCAAGATTCTCCTTGAACTTCCCCGAGACCTCTAAGAACGACGTGACCCCACTCGTAGGTAACAGCGGCGGCCTCCTTACCAGCTTTCCGCCCCCGGGGGGCGCTTGCCCGTGGCCAGTGCAAGGACCGTTCGCTGCCAGCTCGGCTGCTATCCCTGCGGGGTGAATCTAACATGGCGGACAGAGACCGGGCCCAGTCCCATGTTTCTCTGAGTTTCCGACAAAACGATTGGTTCTAACTATTTGTCCCTCAAAACCACCGCTGCACCGATTGGCCAATGCTGCGTCGGCAGGGGCGGGACAGAAGCTGTCTGAACCGCACAACAATAACAAACACCCAGGCCGAGGGGCGGAACTAGTGCGCAGATGTCAGCGGAGCGGATTTCCCGTTCCCGAGCCCATTGGCCGCCCTCTGCTTTCCCTGAGGTCACTGACCTTGGAGAACTAGTTACCCGAGAATCGCGGGGCTGGATGGGAATTGTAGTATTCCTGGGACTTGCAGCTTCTTTCAGTCTAGTCTCTGTGAGCAAGACATGAAAACAGAACGCTGCGATGTACTGCAGCTGACCTGCATAACCGCGAGGAGGTTTCCGCCGTACTAACTAGGTTGTTGTGGTAATCGCGCCAGCTTCCGGTGTTGGAAGCGCCTCTCCCTTAAGACTACAGTTTCCAAGGGACGCGGTGGAGAAGTCCTTTCGTCCCGCAATGCATGCTGGAATTGGTAGTTCTTTTTACATAATCCTTTCTTTACCTAAACTGGAGACTTCCATGGCAGGAAGACTAAGGGAGGGATGAGGACTCTGCAACTGCTTTGTTCACTACCTTGCGCTCATCTTCCGGCCTTGGGTAGCGATCCCGACCCTTTGTACACAATTACTGTGACGTAATAAGCAAGCGTAGATGCGAGGGGGCGGCTGCCTAATAGGAAACTCAAAATTCTTTCTCTTCCGTCTCTTTCTAGTTACGACACACAAGGAGAGACCAGGTGGCCAATCCTGAGCCCGGAAAGAGTGTCCACCTCTTTTTTTTCCTCTCCCTTCCGCTGACGTGTCTGGATCTTGTGTTCCTAGAGGCCGGCGCTAGCCGCCAAGCGGCCGGTTTCCTAGGCGACCGGGAGCGCGGGAATTACAGATAAATTGTCATTGCGGCTGCGCGGCGGGCGCCGGTGCCGCGGCGGGACCTAGTGCTTTCCGAGCGGCTTTCCCGGGATTTGGGCCAAGGGGCTGGGGAGCACGGACGTTTTGCTCGGGGTGAAGGTGAGACAGCTCTGAGGAACCTAGCGGTAGTCGAGTGAAGGGCGGGAAACTGCAGGCGGAGACAGGTGTTTACCAGGTAGGAGAATGCCCGGGGCGGGACCAAACTGAAAGGACTCCTGGGGGGTGCAGCTGTGCGGAAGAAGGCTAGGGAGGAAAGAAGGGGCGTCCTGGCTGTGGTCGTGCCGAGAAGGCAGTGTAAGCATGGTGGCTGAAGGATGAGAGGAAAGGAGGGCGGAAGTGTGGCAGGGAAATCCATGTATATTTCACGCAAAGGAATGCCAATAGTAGTAATGAATGCTGTCGGCAGGGGTACTTGTTCAAAGACTGCCTTGAGGCTAAGTGCCAGAAGGGGGAGGGTGGAGAAGCGTCAGCAGTGTTAGTGTGTTAGTGTTTGCATTTGGTGACTTAAAAAAAAAGTGCGTTTCTTTCCATTTGTTTGTTTTGGTTTTAGTTTTGTTTTTTTTTAATTTATTTATTTATTTATTAGTTCTAGTTAGGGAACAAGCTTGTTTCACATGTAAGTCCCTTCTCCCTCTCCCTCCCCTCACCCCATCCCTCCTCCCCCACCCCCAGCCTACTCCCCACCCCATCCACCCACCACTCCCCAGGCAGGGTGT